ATTTATATATACATATGTCTTTCTCTCCTTCTCTCTGTGTGTGTGTGTGTGTGTGTGTGTGTGTGTGTGAGTGTGTGTGTGCGTGTGTGTGTGTGTGTGTGTGCGTGTGTCTTTCTTTCTTTCGATCTTCATCAAATATTATTGAGAAAGAAATGTATTTTAAAAAACTTTTAACATTAGCATAGCTCGTTGTACGACATACCAAGGCTTTATTCTGAGAAGTCCATGTTCAATAAGATAGGGGTTTTTTAAGTCTCAAATTCCCGGAAAACTGGTCCTGTTCAAGATCTTTTAAAGCAAAATTGGTACGTGATGACCTGCCAGGTTGAGAAAGTATCATTACCTACTCAACAATAGCTGGGGGATATCAATCTAAACTTCTTAAGATTCACTTGTTTTCACCATGCAACACTGTGCTGCATTGGCGTCAAATCCATTGTGCCTTCCCTGTCGCCCCCCGCCTACTTAAGTCGAGAAGGATTGGAGGAGGAGAAGAGGTGGATGAAGATCTGGGGCAAGAGAACCGACAGCCCTAAACTACCCTAGTGCAGAACGCCTCGTTGGGGAATCGAATCAAGACCATCCACTCCACAGTTTAGCATGATACCAACTGAGATAACGGTGTACCCTCGGACACTTCATTAGAATTATTTTGTGTGCTATTTAAGAGAGCCAGCATATTTTACGCCGGTCTCACCAATCAAGCTTAGAACAGTGATAGCCAGTCGGCGACGCTTTGTGGCCGCTGTCTCCCGCCTGGGTTTTTCTCGACTCAACATGGCCGGGTTGAGAGGCGTGGTTTCTTTGGTGGAGTTTCCATGGCCTCCAGATCCAGGCGCTCTGGAGATGGCGAAGTCTTTGGATGGTGAGGAGGAGTTTGACCTCTGAGTTTTGGAAGAGACTATCTTTCTGTTGAGGTTATCCTTTACCGAACTCGAACGTTCCGAACTCTTCTCGTCGTTTCCGCCTTGTAGCGTTTGAGGCTCAAGAGAGCTGCTGTGGTTTTGTTCAGAGATGTACTCGTCCTCTGCGTCCCCGAGAACTGGAGGAAGAGTTTGTGACTGGTGGCCGACTTCGGTTATCTCCGTTGTGAATTCGGTCACACTCGTGTAGTCCATACTTCTCCGGTTTCCCGACGGTGGAGCCACAGCGTGTTTGCTGGCCGAAGATGACGTGCGAGGTGACTGCTGCGCATGTGTAAAGCTTCCCGCTGGCGAGTCTTCTTGTTTGTTTTGCTGCGTCACTGACGAGACAGCGTCGCCTTGTTTGGAATCTCCTGTGCCAGAACCTGCGTTCGCACCACCGGCCGAGTTGGAATCTTTGGTGTTTTTCTTGGAGGGCATCTCTTGTTGGTACCTTCGAGAATTCCTTTTGTGGGATGAGACCGGGAACGCCCTCAAGAGAAGATGAACAGCAATAATGACGTACGCTGAGGTAATTACGAGAAGAGGCAAGCAAAAAAGTAAGATAAACTTGCTGGCCACATGAATCTGTGCATAGAGTTTCCCCCAATCGCTGCGGTAAAGGTGGCAGAACGTGTACTTATCGCCGTTGATGACTTTCGTCGCGATATCGGCGGAAAACAGATTTGGAGTTGAAACTGTGAGGGCGAACATCCAAATTGTAATTGTGAGAACGAGAGGGTTTTTATTTCTTTCGCTCCATAAGCGCTTCCCGGTGACGATCAGACAGCGCTCCACGCTGAGAACAGAAAGTGTTGTGATAACGACTGCTGTGGCTAAATTCTCCGCGAAATGGCTCACCTTACACACCACCAACCCGAATGGCCAATACGGCAGCGTGTACCACACTGAATTAAACGGCAGCGATACCACCAGAAAGATGAAATCCCCGGAAGCCAGATTCACCACTAATGCATTGTGGGCCATGGTCAGTGTTTTGTGACGTGCGAAAGAAAGGATGAGAAGTGCGTTGCCAATGACGCCAACTACCAAAATGGCCGCAAACACGCACGGCACGATGATAGCTTCCGGGGTGGAGTCGTACAGGGCGATCCATTCTGCCTCGTTGTTTGAACAGTTCCCTGTGGCGTTGGTCTGACACGCTGGTGTGTTGAGACCTCTGTCCCCATCCGTCAACGTCACCTCCTTTTCCGTCATCTCTCCGCTCTGAAAGAGTAAAGAGAAACAATGATAGTTTATAGACTTTTCAAAATGCTTATTCATAGCTGGGGATCCAATCAGTTTACGGGGTTCACATGAGTTCACAATAATCCCCAACATCCCCCTCCCCCAACCCACTCCACCTATATACCCCACTTAACACCCCCCCCCCCAAAAAAAAGACAGCCACTCCCATTTAAATATACCGTTTGTTAGCAATGGGCAGGGGCAAAGTAAAATAAATAAATGAAAAGAAAACACTCAAAGAAACGCTTTTGTTGGCTAAGTTCCTCGGTATCTAACCTGGGGCTATCACTATCTCAGTCTTGTCATCTAACCTGGGGCTATCACTATATCAGTCTTGTGTACCTGCGTCTATGACAACCATTGCCGTGTAAACTCTGATACAGCAAATAAGAGAAAGGCATCTGTTTCTCACTTCGACACCGCTAGGTAAGAGAGGCCGGAAAAAGTAAATGTAAAGTAAGCGTTCGATTCCTTCGAAGGGAACTATCTCATTTGTTTTGTCTTAGCCTTTCTGCTAGCATGTAATATGACGCTGCACGTGGGTTGGCCTTGTCAGGTAGCGACGATACAGCCCGCAAACATTGATTACTTAAATTGTGTCGGG